TCTTTTTTTGGTTCTAAAGGCTGTATTCCGGTGGGGAGTAGGGGTAATATACTGGACTGGACTTGACTTCATGGAGTAATGTCATAGTAATCCCTTAGTGTGTAAAGCTGAATCTGGTGTGACTTCTCTGCTAGAAAGGAATTGTGATCTGTAAAAAGATCTGGTTCTTGCTTAGTAGTTTGTATAAGCCCCATGCAAATAGCAGGTAAACTGCTGTCAGATGCTAATGTGATGGCAACATGTTAAGTAGAGTCCTGCAGTTGCCAAAACCTACTCTACTGTAATTAAAAGTAAATCTAGAACAACTTCCTGACAGGCTTTATAAGAAAATTAGCTATCTTACAGTGAAACTAGGCTAGCACATGTTACTGTAGAATGACTTTCTGCTTCCTGTCATCCTTGTAAATAACTCTGCTTCTAAATTCTCCTATAAGATAATGAGAGAGTAAAACACATCTATCATTATTTATGACAATGTTCCGAAAAACCTTTTTTAACCATGTTGCAATTACAGGGAACAGTGGGGAATAAAAAAGTCAAGACTTAAAATTATGTAAAGGCTTCAAGCCCAAGTAGCAAGTATATATTTTACCATTGTTTCTTCAGGAAAGAAAAAGGTAGGTGCACTTCTCTCCTAGGTTGATCAATTATATAGAAAATTGACTTTTGTCTTTTTCTTCCTTTTTTTTTTATTTTTCGAGCCAAAATTGCTGCTTTGGATACTGTATCCAATCCACAGAGAATGACACAAAGAATGTGTCAGCAGGATGCAAAAATTTCGGTTGAAATGCTGTTGTCTAACTATAGATCCTGAGGAATTGATTTCTATCAAGAAGTTGATAGGAAGAAGTATGTAAAAGTTGGCAGTGAGCCACCAAGGCCTAGTTTGTCAATGTTCATCTGAGAATAAATGCTGTATCCAACCCTCATAATTGTAAAGCAAGTAAATTGGTGATTTTCTTATTTTCTGCTGACTGTTTTATTAGCTACTTAAAGTTTAGTATCATACTGTGATGATTTATTGTAATGAAAAGTTACAAGGCAGTGGCAGTCATAAGCTTGTTTCTGGACATAAACTTTGCCCAATTTAGGCAAAATATTCTTTTTAACTTTCTGTTTCACCTCTTGTCCTAATTATCTGAGTCATGTTCTTATAAAATTTAGGAATTCTCTTGATAACTAATTTAAAAATTATAATTTTGGGTATCCCACAAAAGATGTGTGGAGGGAAAGTGTAGAACCTCATTCCCTTGAATAAGAAGAGAGACTAAAGTACTTCTAATGGTTCAAAGCATGCTGCAGTATTATTCTTAGAGATGGCAACATGTTGAAGTGTTTTTTTGACAGGTTTGTTTTGATTAACTTTCTGTTCTTGTAATAGCACACATTTGTTGGTCCCCAATACTTTGATTTAATGCCCCCTTTCTTAAATTTTATCTGTTAAATTGATCATTCTTCATTGATGTCATGCTCTATATTTTTTCTAGAGCAAACTATTTTCCTGTACCCATCCTAAAGAAATACTGTAAGGCTAAAGTACAGTGCAGATGATGAACTAGTTATTTGTTGGATTGCAGATGTTTGATGCTCAGATTAAATTTACTGCTGTTACTTTCTATCCAGATGTGGATTATTTGCTTTTTTCCTCTTAAAAGCTAATAAAGATTTCTTTTTTCTTGCTTTGTTAATGATGCCTACAACTGGGCTTATTATCAGTTTTACCTTTGGGCATGGACGCATTCCAATAATATTATTTCCCCATCTTGTGTCCTAATGTTTTCAGTCTGTCTGCAATTAAATAGCTAAACAATGAAATTTAATTGTCCTCTCAAGCATGTGATATTCTCTCTTATTCTACTGGATGCAGACTAGATGATCCCCTGATGAAGTGCTCTTGAACAGAGCTATCTGTGTGGAATTAGGTTACACTCCTTGGGATCAGGGTTCAGTCTGTAATATTTATGTTTTGTTTCCTCTGTTTATTTTTTGCTTTTGCCTCTTCCATCCCCCCAAGCCTCTGTCACTTCATGGCTGGTCAAATGGTCCAATGACTTTAGGAGTGGGGCTGGGAAAACAGCTGTAAGAATGCAGCCTCTCACACAGGGGCACTGTTTAACACGAATCATTACTAGGACACCGAGGCTAATCTGTCCAGTGGCTCATAAGCAGGAGCATAAAGGTTTTTAAAGCATTTACTGAAGCCTTCAGACATGTTATTAATGAATGTTATCCCTCTTGCCTCCTTTTTGTGGAGAAGGTGAACAGCTTTTATGTAATTCATAAAACAGCTGCTGGAAGAGCTAATGCTTTATAATCCTGATCATTACGTATCACAGTATATTTATGGATAAAAAAGTTTTTTTAAACAGCTATATTTGTAATTTTAATTTTTAATGGTATTTTGGCAAATTATGTAGTTGAAACAGGCTTCATAGTTCAATTTTTTTTCTGAGCATCCTGTAACTGGTGAGCCTTGTCATGCTTGGCTTTGACTCAAAAGGATAAAGGGAATTCCCCCTCCCCATCCATTATAATCCTCTGTAGATTTTCACTGTTTTTTTTTTCCCTTCCCCCATCCTTATTTCCTTTCATATCTCAATCCTGTTTGGCAGAGTTAAAAAATGCTCTTTTGCAAAATACTGCTAGAAGTTTTGTATTTGAAAATGCACTATTTGAAAAAGGTTTGTTTGTTTGTACTGGAGGAGAGAGCCATTGTGGTTAAGATTTTGCGTCCATCCCTTCTCCCTACTTTCCAACTGGGGAAACAAAAATAGATGAAATACATCTGCTTTGAGTCAGTAACTTCTGTCTTCTGGTTTTCCAAGAATAGCCAAATGCTGCCATTGGCTCACCAACTGTCAGGGAGACAGTGGAGACTGAGGAATTAATGCAGCCTCTTGAAAACACCAGCCCAAATGCATGCTCATCGTGAGTCATGGCTGAGTGCTTGAAAGAAAGCCTGTGGCAGAGACAGGCACTCCAGGGTTATTTAATTCCTGTGATTCTTTTGCTGCAGAGACTCACAGAGTGGGTAAGGTTGGAAGAGACCTCAGTGGGTCATCTAGTCCAACCTCCCTGCTCAGGCAGGGTCATCCTAGAGCAAATTGCACAGGATTGCATGCAGATGGTTCATGAATATCTCCAATGATGGAGACTCCACAACCTCTCTGGACAATCCATTCTAGTGCACAGTCACCTGCACAGCAAAGAAGTTCTTTCTCATGTTCTTCTGAAACTTCCTTTCTGCCTGTTGCCTATTTTCCTATTGCTTGGTTCTACTAAGCCTGGCTCCTTCCTCTTGATACCTTCCCTTCAGGTACTTATATAGACATTGATGAGGTCCCCTCTCTTTTTGAGGCTGAGCGGGCTCAGCTCCCTCAGCCTTTCCTTGTAGAAGATGCTCTAGTCTCCTATTGCCTTCATAGTTCTTTGAACCAGGAGCTCCATCCTGAGGAGGCCAGAATTGGACACGGCACTCCAGATGTGGCCTCACCAGGGCTGAGTAGAGGGGCAGGACTACTGGCGATGCTCTTCCTGCACCCCAGGATTCCGTTGGCCTTCCTAGCCAAAAAGGCACACTGCTGGCTCAGGGAGAGGTTGTTGTCCACCAGGACCCCCAGGTCCTTCTCTGCAGAGCCGCTTTCCAGCATCTGCTGGGGTGGGACAGTAATTTGGTTTCAGGATAGAAACTGCCTGGGATCCTTCTGCCACTGCGGTGACAGTATCATAATGTCCTCAAAGTCCCAAAATGTTACTGGAGAATCAGGTAATGTAATGAGGGATCCTCAGTGTTAATAATTCAAAATATTGGAAGGAAGAGGGCTTCCCTTTCCACTGCTTGACAGCAGTCTCTAAACTCCTTCCTTAATCTGTCTCTTTTTAAATAACATGGCTTTTGGGATGTGCTTGTTTAAGGGAAAAGCTTGAAAAGCTGTGGCTTGATGAGAATTAGTGACCTGTAAACACAGGTGAATGTGGAAGTTGAAACTTAAATCTGAAGAACTTGTGGTGCATTCATGGCCTGCTGTGTTGTGTTCTCCCAGCAAAGCCCAGTGATTCTGGCTTTGTAGCTGTTGCAACCAACAAGAAAACCAGTGGCAGAGACAGGCACTCCAGGGTTTTGGAAACACCATGTATTTATTATTGATAGTAAATGGCGGGACTCCAAAAACAATGAGGTTGTTGTCTTGCTTTACTTTTAGAGAATTAAAGTGTATGCTGGACAAATGTGCTCCTGCCCTGCTGCAAGAGGATGTGTCACCTCACCAGGAGTCAGGCCCTGGGAGAGGGAAAGAAAGGAGGTTTGAAGAGGGAAGGGGATGAGCACGGGGGTGGTATCCCTGAGTTAGGGGCAAAGTCTGTAGCCCTGTAGTAGTCTGTAGCTGAAGTGCATCTACACAGTGTCCACAGGATAGGTAACAAACAGGGGGAGGTGGAGGACATTGTGCAGCAGCAATTCCCACAAACCAAGTCTGGACGTGTGCAAAAAAAACGAAGTAACTTCTTAAGCTGCACCAGGAGTTTAAATTGGACATTAGGAAGAATTTCTTCACAGAAAGGGTGATTAGATATTGGAACGGGCTGCCCAGGGACGTGGTGGAGTCACCATCCCTGGAAGTGTTTAAAAGAAGACTGGAGTGGTGGTGGTCGGCCACAGGTTGGACTCGGTGATCTCAGAGGTCTTTTCCAGCATAACTGATTCTGTGATTCTTTGATGGAGAAAGCCCTCTGCGAGGGTTGTGTCTCCCTCCGTTTTCTGGAGTCTCGCCCCGCTCGATGCCGCCCCCGCTGCTGAGGGCGGCCCTGCCCGCGCCGCCAGGGGGCGCTGCTGCGGCCATGCCCGGCAGGCGGGGGTGGGGCCACGGGGCCGCCGCGCGCAGGCGCAGCGCTGCCCCCCCCCGGCGGCGGCGGCGCGCGGCCCCTGCCGCAAGGCCCGCCGGTCCGTCGGCGGCGCGGGGGCGGGCGGCCGGCCCGGGCCCGGACATAAGATGGCGGCGGCGTTGCTGGGGCGGCGGCGGCGGCGGTTGCGGCTGTTGCGGAGCACGGGCGGTGCGCGGCTCTGCCCGGGCTCGCAGGGCGGATAGAGCGGGGCCGGCGCGGTGGAGCGGGGCCGCCATGGGCTCCCAGGTGCTGCAGATCCTGCGCCAGGGTGTGTGGGCGGCGCTGAGCGGCGGCTGGTACCAGGACCCGCACCAGGGCGCGGGAGTCAACGCTCTGCACCTCTACCTGTGGCTCTTCCTGCTCGGCTTCCCCTTCACCCTGTACATGGTGAGCGCGGGGCCGGCCCGGGCCGGGGGCCGAGCGGGCCTGGCGGGGCCCGTGGGGGAGGGGGGCGGGAAGGGCCGCGGGGCCGCCGCTCGCGCGCCCCCTGCCCGCGGCGCGGCCCCGGGAACGGCCCCGGCCGGGCCCCCCGCCCCTGGGACAGGGCCCCGCGGCCGCGGTCGGGACTGCGGCGTTTCGGGCGCACGGAGCTGGTACCGGGAATCTGTGGGTGGGCGCTATCGGGGCGCGGCGGGGCTACAGGCGCTGGCGCTTTGCCTTCGCTTTTCTGTTTACTTTCCTTCAAAATCGGGCATAACTCTGTCAGCTTCCGCTGCGGATCCACTGGCAGTCCACTAAAAAACACAGTTTCTAAAGAAGCTGTCAGATCTAGCCGGTATTTCTGTCTGGCAGCGCTATCACCTGGTTTTTGAGTCTGATGGAAGGATATGGGTCCATAGCCTAGAAGTTTATTTGTCTGTAGTGTGGTGTACTCTGTGATGGCTGGCAGTGCATCTGGAGTGTGTATTATTGACGAGAAGTTACTTTGGCTTTTTCGCTTCCGTCCAGATTTTAGTGTACTTGGTTTGTGGGAAGTCCTGCCCTATATATCTTTGTAACTGATAGTTCAGTTAGAGCTGTTAAAATACTAACCTTTAAACCTGCAAACTTTCTTGACATTTGGACTTGGGAACAAATGCAGGAGAGGTGTGATCAGTTACGAGAGAAGGGGGAGGTTTCCTGTTGGCCAGTCGTTTTCTTCTTGTGTAAGTTGAGTGTAAATTATGAAATGCAAATAGTTTACTTCGGAATTTTTCGTAGAAGAGTGTGGTTATGCTAGGTGTGTTGTGACCAGTTTTGTGCACGTGGGGTAGAATGTAATTTGCAAGCCTGCTGGGTCCAGATGCTGTGACAACCTAAAGTAGAAACTGCCTTGTGAAAATTTTTGGATTAGTGAATGAAACATTGGAGGAAAAATTCTACGCAAGTGAAGTTGCAGAGATTGAGAGCTCTGGGGTCAGGCATTTGCTTTGTTACAAAGCAGTTGGTAAGATTGCGGTATGAGACACTTAATACTAAGAAATAACTAATGTGGAAGAGGAGGTTTCAGCTCTGTATGGTTAGTTTTTAATTCATGTTACAGTGTCATAGAAAAGGCAACTCCAAGGCTTTTTGTTTGAAAACTTTTAGACTGCTGGCATGAAAACCGCAGGCTGAGACCAACTGCTTTTAAAACCAGAGTTAATATGACAACCGCTAGATAAAACTTTCAACTAAGCAGATCCTTTCTATAAAAACTATGAATCTGTATCTATTCAAAGTTCATCAGAATACAGGAAGAGGAGAGAACTTCTGGTTTCAAATGTAGCTTTTTAATTGTTTTTTTATAAAAGTACTGTTCTTCTGTTTTACAGAATAGTCTGTTTAATTAGTACTGTCACGCTGAGAGAGCTGTTCATAAAGATGTGGTGAGCTATATTCTGAAAGCATAGGAGACTTTTGAAAGGCGAGTGATTTATATTGTACGTAGTTATTTCAACAAATGATAAATCTAGGCCAGCATTTGAATCTCCTGCTACTCTGAAGGCTGTAGTTAATCTTCTGTTACCTGTACTATGGGTTAAACTTCAGTGTTACCTAAACTTTTTTCCTGGGCGAAGGGAGAAGGCAGACGAGCAAGCTGCTTCAGGTTTTGTTGAGGTCAGAGAAATTCTCTTGCTTCATAGCTCTGGACAAGTTAGAGGTGCAACAAGTGCCAACTTCCCTGAGAATAAGTAAGGAGATTAGTCACAAGTTAAAGCAGATTGAATCATATTTGGCTGTTCTCCCTCTTTCCACCCTCTGCAGTTTAAGTGTTGTCTAGACATAAACTAAACAGGCAGTACCGTGTTGGTCATCTTAGCTCTTTAGTATCTCTTAAGCTCTTTTTCAGAATAAAAAGCAGTAAGTGTTGCATTGCTGTGGGACATACATAAATAAGCAGGACTTGCTTAAAAAGTCTTAGGTAATCATAATCTGAATTCTGAGCATGGCTCACTGGTGTGTAGGAGGGAGTTTCTAAGCTAGCTTCAAGTGACTTGTTGCTGGCAGACAACCCCGTGTGTTTAAAAAATCAAGGTATGTACAAAGACTTAAAATGCAGTCAGGTTTCATATTGCTTATAAAACTTCCTCACATAAGGAATTGCAAAATCATAACGTTACTTTTATGCATTGAGGCAGCAATAACTGTAGTTACTCCTAAATTGTTTTGTAGCAACAAAGACAAAAGTATCGCCTAAGAACTTTGGTTGTAGCTGGCTCTCAAGGCTGAATGCGTTTTACAGTGAGCTAATCACTTTTTTCAAATGTTATTTAACCCCCAAAAGGAATAGAACGCTTTGGGATATGGTGATTTGGGTACGCTTATTGCTTCAAGACTTGGTTTATTGCACCCAACATTACTAATCTTTTTTCTATGCATTCTTTCTATTGATCTGGTATTTTCAGAATGGAATTTGGTTATAACTGTGGTCAGCAAGTAATACCATAAATCTGCGTTTTTCTTTGTGTGTGTATGCTAGTGCTGTTAGGGTTGATGGATTTAATGTGTGGTGGAAGCCAACTTAAAAAATTACCAGTAGAATTCAGCTCGCCTTTCCTCCTTGATCCCTCATCTGCCTTCTGAGCTTAAGCATATGGAAGTGGAGGTTGTACCCTGTGTGAAGACAGCTGTATACATAAATGTATCTGTATTACCGACCCGGATACTTTTCTTTTTCTCTTGTATTTACACACTTTAACCATCCTGTTGGATGTGTGGTAAAAAGAAAATTGTAGATAATGGAGGAACTGGGTTGTAGAGTAAGAGAAATTTCTGCTTAAGTCTGTATTCTTAGAGCTGTGGTTTGGCAGCATGCATACAAAAATACTGCTTTCTAGACCAGTTAAATCTATCCTGTTTGCATATTTGTGTTCAGTAATAGACTCAACTGTGCTTGTTGATCTGCCTATCTGTTGTAAGAGCTGATCCTTGTTTTTACTGTAATCCAGAACTGGAATTGGGAGAAGAAAATATGCTTTCTATATGGGGAAGCTGTACAACTGTCTTGTAAAATATAGTGGTAGAGTTGAAAAAATACCCTACATGCAGAGGCCAGTGTTATGCATCAGTGTTGCAAGGGGGAGGGGAAAGAGAAGGCTACCCAAGTACTTCCCCCAGTCGGAATGCTGTTTCAGCCCCACCACATGCGCAGGAGCGGGTGAAGTCTTGGCTCTGGCAATTGTGGAATTTTGCCAGTGATGGAAGAGGAGCCAGGACTGTACCTTGCTTGGGGCGATGGGCTCATATGTACCTACAGAACTTGTCTGTCGAAGTCAAGCTCATTTAGACAACAAGTTCACTTAATTTCCTGAGTTGTGTACATAGTTATAGAAGTAGGTCATATAAATGTAGCTTCACGTGAAAGTTTTTTCCAGTGAGTTTCTGAAATACATCCTTTTTCTTAAACTGAGATTTTAAATAATTGAGGTTGGATCTGTGATAACGATCCCTGGTATCCCATATTGCTCTAAGACACTTCTAGTTTCTCGGCTACTCAAGTTTCAGTTGCACACTTTTGAGTTTTCAGTCAAAAACTAGGTAACTTGTAACTGAACTTGCTTCTTGATAACAGCAGTTCTTAAGGGCTCTAACTGTTCATAAACAAAAATTGGGGCCAAAACTGTATCTGTTGTTTCTTGATTTCTCCTGTTCTCCAGTATGAGTGTTTATATAAAATACTGGGCTCAAAATGCTTGAACTGGTAAGCGTTTTAAAAGATGCCTGTTACTTCTTAATGAATGCTTGATTAATATGACTTCTATGTAAAGATTTGCAATCTGATTTGGGTTGGGAGACTTTCCTGTGAGTGTTCTCAATAGGTAACACCTACACATTTTTTTTTTTTAAAGAATCTGGAAGCTTCATTGCATCTGTGGGGTCTAGGTAAAGCTACATGTGATTGGGTAAGATCCATATAGCCTTTATTTCTTCATAAGTGTGTCGCACAACCTGCGATCAATGAAATTCCCTCCGGTTCCTGGCACTTACATGCTTAAAACGTTGCATCAAGATACAGTGACTTTTTGTAGTTCAAATGGGAATATTTTATGGCAGTGACTAGTGGTCTGAGCTTTATTTTCTGTTCTAAGTTGGAGTTTAGGAGTGCTTAAAGCTTTTTCTACCTACTCTTTCAAAGTATCAAAAGATGTGTTGTGATAAAACTGAGTTAACTTAACAGCCAGCAGCTTCCAGAAGGGACAGTCCTACTCCTCAGCTGTGCCTTCCTGCTTCTTACTTTTGTGCATATGTATAGTGTGGATTTCATAAGTTGTCTCGAAAGGTTTAAATTTGGAAAGTAACCCTTGAGGGAAAAGTGGTAGAAAATCAGTGTCCTTCCTCTTCCCCCTCCATATTTGAGAGTACTACTTAGCTTCCCTTTCAGCTAGGAGTTTATCTAAAGCTTGGGTTTGTTCAGCCATTAGACGACTAAAGTTTTCAACAGAATGTAATTAAAGTAGTCAGTTTTTGTATGGTCATGTTTAGCTTTTTATATTCTACAAGAGCTTTAGTTGTGACTACTGATGTGGAGTGTATGTTTTCTTTTGTTGCTAATGCAAGTGACTAGAGATGTGCGGTAAAGTGGGGTGTTCTCTGAAATGCTGTTGCAGCTGCAGGCTTGTAGCCATCTGGTGTCTACTAACAAGCTCTAACCTGAGGTTTTTTAGTCTGCTGTGCCCAATAAAAATGCTTTAGTACTTGTGGAAAGAACTGAAATAAAATCTAGCTGCAAATGTATAGGACCTAGGTTTGTATTCCAGTTTTGAAGATGGTATTGTGCAGCATGCTGGTGAGAGACCTGTCTCTCCTCAAATGTGGTAAAATGCTAACCATGTCTTAAAATGCTAATCTTACTTTAGCTCGCCTTGGCTTGTGGTTTGAAGACCCCAAATGGAAGTTGAACTCTTCTAAGTTTGGCAAAGAAAAATGGACAAGGCACCAGTGGTTTAGGTTAGGTTGCAGCAAGTCTTCCCTTTGAGGCTGGACTGCAAACAAATTACTGGTACCCTGGGTGGCAGTGCTGTACCATGGCCTGAGACTTAGTGTGAAGTATGATCATACAACAGAGTCAACTAGGCATGCTAGAATTTGTATTCCCACAGTATGTACCCTATCCAGACATGAGTAGCTACTAATGAGTATGAAGAATGAAAACTAGTGAGTTAATTTACCTTATTTTTAGCTTTTTGCAATCCTGTGAAAATGGGATGTGAGGAAAAAAACACCCTTTAATTCTTTATTGGGTTTGCTGCAAGTTACATGAGGTGTTTTGCCTTTTTTCCCCCCACTTGTTTCTTAAAACTTTCCTTTGCAGAACAGGATGTGTAGATTTTGCTTTCCGTAAGATAAATTGGATACACTGTGTGACCTCACTACTGACAAAATTTAAGAGTTCTCTAGACAGATAAGTACAGACATGTCTTTTATAGACTAATTCTATTTTTTGTTATCCATTGTTAGACTGACTCTTCTGGTAATGACTTCTATACAGTAGGTACTCGTAAGGAGCAGGGTAGTTGAAGTTGTGTGGGTGATTGGGCAGCAGACGTGCTTAGCAGGTACAGGAAGCTCATGAGTTTTGCCAGAGTTAACGGATATTTCCTTGCCTGCAGGGAACCGATTGTCTCTGAAGTTTTTGGAAGTGGAAACATGGCGTTTTTTAAGGAAACGCTTGTAGCATTGCTCCAGGGGTTGTAAGGAGACCTTAAGCATCATCTTGGCTTCTCTTTGCTTACTGATGCTGGTTTTTAGTAGCTTTGTTTCCTCTTCCTCCTCCTGAGGTAGTGCTTGGGAAGTGATACGTGTAATATGGTGTTGTTCAGCTCAGCATGCAAAATCTAAGTCAGCATACCTGAGCTGAGTTTGCCTGGCCTACTTCAAATGTTGTATTAGGTGTTGACTTAACTTGTTTTGGGGGAAAAGGTAGGTTTAATTTGATCTCTTTAGCAAAAGAATCCTTATAAATAACCTGCCTCCTGATTGATTCCAGATTCAGTTATTTATATTTGTTTGACTTCAGGAATGTTATATTGATTATTTGGCTTTGTTTACGGCCAGAAAGTGAGAGCAGCCAGATTAAGAATTGGTTTTGTTCTAAAGTCAGCAGTCAATACAATACTTAGAAATATTTATTCTTTTGTTCCCTTTATTAGTACAGTATTTTGTATTTGGAGATCTCTTTAAGCATTTTTCTTTGACAAACTCATTGCTTGTGTGGCAAGCACTCCCTGTATTTCTAGGACTAATAAGCTCTTGAATATGTGGAAATATTAATATTGTAATCAGATCTCTTTTAAATTACTAAAGCTGGTTTTATGTGCAGAATAGAGAGGGCTCTCTGTCTTGTTCTCTAGTAATTTTCCCCTTCTGATTCCGCAAGATGTGCATGAGGCTTTGATCACCATGAAGACTCTTCTCTTGTGATGGTCTGTATAGGGAGGGAGATTGGAAGTCTTCTTAGGCTTGGAGGTCTAAAAAGACTGTTCATTTGTTCTAATCATCTACTAAATAATTGTTCATGCTGAATATCAGATGTTGGTTAATTCTGATTGTCATATATCTGTGTGTTTTTGAAGGTATATCTCAAACTACACCATCAGTGGGGTAAAGGATAGTGATGCAATGAACACACACTTTCGCTTCTGTAAGGGAAATGGTCTATTTTTGGATGAATACTAAGAGTTAATATCTCGTTTAGTGACTGGTGACTGCCTAGTGAAATAGCAAAATTAAAAATATGGATAAAAGATAAATTAGAAGGATGAAAGCCTTGAAGTGAAATCTGAAGTTTAACTAGTACTCTGAACATTGCTTTTAAATAGCTGTTAGGCTGTACTTAATCAATATCTTTTGCTGAAGGGATTGATCTGTAAAATCCCTATGTACCTCAGCAAAAGCTACATGAGAAGTCTTAACTCGGAATGGAATTTCAAAAGCTGAATTCAAGACTGAGGTTTTTTATGTGGCTTCTGGCCACCTTTGACACAACTGAAAAATTCTCTTCAGAACATGAATTGGCTGCCTTTTTCCATGGGCATGTAATGATCTAACACAAATAATCTTTGCAGCCTTTGGTCTTGCAGGTTATTGAGGGCTGCTGCTCTATGTGTGAGTCACAAATGTAAACAGCCTCTTTTTTTTTTTTTTTTTTTTGTATGCAGCTAGGAAAAAGTTTGGCTTTTGTGACTGATCGGTATCTTGTCATGCAGGAGTAGCTGTTGGAAGCTGACAAGCGAAGACAAAACATCTCTGTTCGTTATCTAAGCAGATTTTCTCCCATCCAACCATGCTGTCCGACTTGCAACAGTTTTTCAAAAATGGACTTGGTGCTGTGTGCTGGCCCTGAAATAAGATCACATCCTGTGCTTGGTTTAGTTTCCAAGTTGCTTGAAATCTTCCCATCTCTTTTTATTCACAACAACTAAGCAGAAATACTGCGTGCCATGCAAAAAGATCATGCTAGCACTGAGTTTCCTAGTTAGGTCTTGTATTCCAATAGTCTGTGAAAAGAGAGTGAGAGTTGAACTTGGTTCTCAGACTTCAGTGTCACAGGTTTATTTAGGATGCTGCTGTGGCACTTTGGTATCTTGAAGTCAAGCTGTTCCTTTTTTCTGTGTTGCTAGACTTCTAACATTCTTCACACAAAATCAGACTAGATGGTGTAATTTTCAGTATGATCAGTGTTTTCTCCATGAAAGAAAGTGTGAGACTCTAGCTAGGGTATTCTTATGGATGTTTGACCTTGTGTTCATTAACTCTTTCTTACTTTTTTTTGAAAGGCTCTTCCTTCTTCCATGATGATAGTAGCTGTCTACTGCCCGGTGATAGCAGCTCTCTTTATCGTTTTGAAGATGGTGAATTACCGTTTGCACAGGGCACTGGATGAGGGAGAAATTGTGGAGAGGAATGCCAGTGAGCATATGGATAGAGGTGCAAAAACAGAACAAAGCAATGTTTCAGCCAAGAGGAAAGACAGCAATGGGCCCAGGTAAGGTGTCTGCTGATGTTTGTGTACTGCTTCAAATGATAAACAGTCCTGCCTTCATCAGATGTGTAACTGGATGGTGGTTGAGATGAACACTGAGAAATATAGATACAGACCTCTGTAGTTCTGAAAGACTGTTTTAAGTCTGGTCTTTAAAAGCAGACTGATTTATTTATTAGGTTTGAAATGATGTATTCCTGTTAATTTCCTGATTCCTCTCCCAGAGGCATTCCAGAACAATATTGAATGTGCTGGAAGCACTGAAACAATAGCGTGGAAAATCTGTGCTGATTAGGTCACTAAAAACTTCACACAGCTAGTACAAGTAATCTTATTTCAGCAGTAGATGTAGTTCTAAAAATCTAACTGTCGAAGACCACGTACTGCTTGCTAATCTTTTATCACTAGGAGGAGTGTCTGATTGGGTTTCAATTTTAGTTTTTAAAAAGCAGGAGTCAGATACAATGCTTGACTCTAGCTATAGTCTTTCTTCAGAAGAACACTGTCCTATGAATTAGTAAATTCTGGAATTGCTCAGCTCAGTAATGAAGATAATGATTCTGTCAATAGGAGGTGATTCCTTTCCACAGATCTCTGCTGTTGCCAGCATAAAAAAACCCAGAGGTTTTGCTCCTCTGACCAGACTATTTGGAGAAAGAAGAGCAAAAGATGACTCATCAACAAGGCCAGCCTAACCAGTCTGATCAGACTGTGGATGTGTTACGAGCTTTATTATCGAAGTCTCTGCCTACCTCCAGATAACTGAGGCCATCTTCAAAGTTAAACTGTATGAAATAAATCGACCTTGAATTGTGAGCTTTTAAGGAAGACCTTTCTCTTGTCTGTGGGTTTCTGGTACTAGTAGCCGTGAATAGTTTTCAAAGTGAGGAGTATGCCGTCCTGACTCTTAAAAGGTTGTGTGTGTCTTACTAATAAAAACCAAACCTGTAACTTCTAAATGGAGACATGTGAACTGTGAGGAAATGTAGTTGAAAGAAACCTCTTGAGTCTGTTTATTAGGATGCTTAAAGAAAGGAAGTGTTAAACTACTGCTCTTGAAAATGCTCAGCCTAGAAGCAAAAGGACTTCATGTGTGCATATAGGGTAGCATCTTATGAGATGGGTCCTGGGTTCTTCTCTGTCTGCTCTCAGCTCAGGTATTGTTAGCAAAAACGGTGTCTTAGATTCCTCTAAAGTTGATATACAGTAACTTCTTGTATCAATCTTTTATAACCTGCCCCTTTTTCCATGTTGTGTTTGGCAACAGAACCTGCTGATTTAATTTGTGACTGTTTAGAGCACCATATACCTTATCAAAACTGTGCTGAGCTACTTTGGCAGACTGTTTCCCTAATTGTATATTAATGCTTACTGTGCTTAATAAAATTCATTGAAGTAAACAGTGGTCTGTTCTGTTTCAATGCAGGGTTGCTAATGCATGTTTTAGGTGTGATCTTTAGATGTTTTGTCTCTGAGTGGTTTTTGGTGGGTTTGGGTTTTGGTTTTTCTTGGGGTTTTTTCCATGTAGCTTTTGCTTCCAAAACAGTAGCCCAAACTTGGCAAGGGAATTTCTACTAGAGTTGTGAATTACTTCTGGATGTTTCAGTTCTGTTTTGTCTAGGGAGCAGTTGACATGGGACAAGTTACTACATTATAAGCGTTGTGAGCTCAGAAGTAGAGGTTAGTTTGATGCTGTGTGTCCTGCTTGCCAACTAAAGTTTCATTAACTTTTATATGATCCTTGTTCCCACTTTCAGGTCTCTTAACTAGAACTGGGAACAAGGTCAATGCAGAAATTACGGAGTTACTTTTTGGTAAGTGGGATGTACAGTATATACTAATCTTTGCCTGGAAGCTTACAAGAACTCTGGGGTAACATTCAAACTAGTAGATGGGATGTAGAGTGAGTGTTTAATATTGAGCTGTAACCTTCTTAAGTTTAAATTGGAACACTAATAAAAAAACAAACCTGTCTGGGAAGAGAGTGTGTATGTAGGGTTTTCTTTTTAAACTCCAGTCTCTTTGCAGAAGGTGGATATAGGGGAGATCTAAGCAGACATACTGTCTTTAGTATTTACATTATCAGAATATTTGTTTTGATAGTTTAGGCTACAGCATGTGATACCAAATAAATATGTATATAGTATAGTTTGCAAAGCCATCCTAGAGCTTTTGCCCTGTCACGCACACATTCCCTGAGACCACATAATGGTATTTTTGAAGGATTAAGCAATAGTCTGGTTTCTGTTCCAAAGTCATGTTTGGGATTCTGTTAGCTTCTAAGAACTGCTGTTCTTTCTTTCTGAAGATGTTTATCTGTGAAGTGGTGCTTTCACATATCTTGACAACTTGTGTGTTGTCATCTGTAGGCTTACTCAAACTGCTCATTTATCTTCAGTTCGCACAGGTTTGTGAATAGGATTGAACTAAAGGTTTCTAATCTTTCCATGAAACTTTAGCATGTTTAAGCAAAGAACAACTTACTGTTCCTTTAGAAATGCCTTGTTTATTTTTTTTTTGGCTGTGCTCATTATAAAGCTGAAATTCTCTAGATATTTTTGGAAGAAACTAGTTTTAATTTAGAGATGGGAATATGAGTTCCCTTCTTCTGTAGCTTCTAGTGCATTTGCTGTTTTCATACTTCAGGTGTTAGTAATACTTCTATGAGGTTTTGTGAAAGCAAGTAGCGAGGATACAGGTTCCTGGTTTCATAGAAAAGGTGGAAGAAACAGTGCAAGCATAATCTTTGTTGGGTATCAGTGGACCCACATAGATACTTGAAAACATTTCAATCAGTCTTGACTTTTGGGTATATGATTATGGCGTCTCTTTTGTATCAGTGACTTCTGTGGTTCAAAGTACCATCAAGTGTTAATCTGATGACACTGGTGTTCCTGATCTCCATTAGCATGGGGGAGCTGTAATCAAGATGCTACGTGAATTTCACATGTACCTCTGGACAGCTGGACAATGTTGTGTCTTTGAGATATATACAGTCTACTTAAACAAGTATGAGCAAGAGAAATAAAATTTAAAAAATGTTATCTCAAGAACTCTTGCCCTACCTTTGCTGTTTATTCTTGCAGTTTTCTGTGGCTGGCAGACTGGTTTTTGAATTTGGAGTTGGTTTGCATTTTTGACTAGTGATTCAAACTTGAAAGGAAACTTCTTTTAATACTTCAAGCTGTTGTGACCTAGCATTTGCAGTACATGCTCTGGTCCTTCTGTGTTTTGAGAGCAACCTCCTAACTGGTTATCCTGCTATTTGAGTTGGAAATTAAGGACAGAAAAAGGTGTTCAAAAGAAAGTAATAAAATTCTTCCTCTGCTTTGTCCAGAAGTCAAAATTGCTTATTCCAAATTCTCTTTCAAAGTTCTGGTCTGAATATCAAATTCCTTCAGTCAATCAGCCTAAGTAAGATTTTAAGCTCTTGAATTCATGTAGACTTACACCCTCTTCAGATGTCTGGTTAGTCTCTGACATGCTAATGTAATGTACCTGCAGATAGCAATTTTATTTAGGAGAGTTACTAATAACTAGAAATACTACTTATATATAAATACTAGAAATACTAGTAATATAGTGATCTTTGAATGCCTCTTGCTCAGCAGTCTCTATTGCAGGTAGCTGGACATAATTTTTTCAGTCTTCTCAATTTGGGTGGTAACTTCACTGCAGTTATTTTACTTGCAAGCTGAGAAATGGTAGCACTTGCTCTAAGGTATGAGGTTGGCAAACTGTAAGAAACTGATTGTAGAACTTCATAGCAGAAGGGAATGGCCACAGTGGTAGCATCAAATAGCTCCTAGAGGACTTTGTGCTGTTATAGTCCAGATACTTAGGCATTCAATGGTTAGTCCTAGGAATATGTATTACCTGCTTTTTCCTGTGGACGTTATTCTTTGTTGTTTGTTACTAACTTTTGTTAATCCATTATCTTGTGTGTGTCACAGAAAATAGAAGCTGTGAGTACAGTGACAGTGTTGGATTGTGGTGTTGCTTATGTTGGTATCTGTTGGTTCAGTTTGAGACAAAATTACTTCCTTCTGCCCTGGCTAACTACCCAGTTCTGTGCATGAGAGCTTATTTGCAATGGCTTATTTTTCTGCTTCATAGGATGTACTTTAATAACATACAGTGTTCTCAATGAATTATTCAAGCAAGAAAGGGATTTTGTCTTTTTGTGAAAGGCATTCTTTGTTATATCTTCTGTTGTCGTTGTAAGGCATGTTGAACTTAAACACTGAGAATTTTTCAGTTTAGTCTTTAATTTCATGTTATGTCCTTATGTATTCTTAAAATATTTACCTAAGGAATACTTTGGCTAAAGCTGGTGGTAATTATTGGAGCTAATTCTGTATCTTGTTTTATTCATTTTCCTTACCTGCCTCTAGCATAATTGATAATACCAGGTCAGAGAGGACTCTATAAACAGCCATCATTAAGAGCATGCCTATGTCTCATTGCTGAGCTGTACCAAAATGGTGGCTTTTCACTTTTTTATTTTGCTGGAGTTAGACCATAGTTGTTCTGCTAACTAATAGCTGGTTGTCTTTTAAGTTAACTTATTTTTACTGAAATAATAAATTCCTGACTTCAAACAGTCTTTTTTGTAATCTCTTTGATGTAGGAAGATTCACAGGCTTCTTACATGATCTAGAATGATTCCCAAGGTTGTACCTTTTTGCTTCTCTGAGATAACAACAACTTGAAATGTCATGCTGCAGAATGAATCATGTCTCAGGTTCTTTAGTCTACAGACAGTTTGTTTATAATATCCTAGATTGATGGCTGTATATTACAAAAGTGATTAGAATTGTAGAATATGCTGAGTTTGAAGGGACCCATGAGGATCGTGGAGTCAACTCCTGGCCCTGGGCAGGACACCCCAGTAGGTGTTGGTCTTATTGCATGAGACTTTCTTGTAAGACTAGCTATCTATTAAGTAAACCCTGCAGTGCTTCTGTCCTTTTCTGTCCCCTTCTCCAGAGGGGCTTCGTCTTTAGTTTCTTCGGTCCAGCCAGAGAAGTATTGTGCGTATGTACTTTCTCCAGCAAAATGTTGGAGTGGGCTTATCACAGGTCAGAATCATTCGTTGTTGGGAGGCAGTTGTTAATCTTTGGGATGAAGCAGAGAGGGTCAGTGTCAAATTACTCTGCAGTTACTTATGTTGAGAAGTTTCCTGTATCAAGATCTTTGAAGAGAACTGCAGTGAGAGAGGAAAAGGGATACCTAATTTCTTCCTCTTTGCAGTCAACAAATGGTGCTAAGTTGTATCCCTCTGTTCTAGTCCTCAATTTACTTCACACCTCATTTGTCTTAGTGGATAGATCCAACTTGCTTTTGTTTCATATGATATCTGTCTTTCACAAACTGAATTATATTGAATTACAATTTGGTGATGTTGATCTAGAAAATACTTTCAAACCAATAGCTATTAATCCTAAGTGTGAAATCACTAGGATGTAATGATACATATGTTGTACTTGAAAATATATCTTGATAGAGCCTGTAAAGTATCTGAGGGAAAGTTATTTTTCGGTAGAAAGATGTAGTTTGCATTCCTGAGAGAGATACCATGTCCCTGTATGTCTCTGCCTGTCCAGTAACTTTTACTGACAGCGTGTGGCTTTCTTGATTAACCATCCTTGTGTTTGCTCCTAGATTCAATCTAAGGAAAAGACCAGAGTCCTTTTCCATGGTCTTTGAAAGAACTCTGTGTAGTACATTTTCTATTGATGGATTTCTGGGTATTATAGTTGGACAGGTGATCCAAAAGTTACGTGTGTGTATGTATAGACAGAGATAATTCAGTATGTCAGCATTGCAGAATGCCTCGTAGCTCCTAAGTCTTCACAGTTTGTGTTGGCTGGTGACAGTGGATTTAGGGCAGCAGCTTCTATGACACTATGTGGGGTGCTCCAGCTCTGGCTGAGCTTCCTGTGTCAGATTGGCAGTATTCATCTGAGATACTAGGATGTATTGGACCTCTTGATATTTGAAGAGGGAAAAATTGTTTTGAATTTGCATTCAGGGTAGACAAACTTAGGTTTAACTGGTAGGCTAATGTTATTTTTTTTTTCTTTTATGTTTCTCTTAGTGATCCTGGTGGAGGGATTGAGATGTCAGAGTTCATACGAGAAGCAACTCCCCCTGTTGGCTGTAGTTCACGCAATTCTTATGCTGGGATAGATCCAAACAACCAGGTGAGAATTAAAACTACTGCAGTTGTTGCTTTAGTACTGCTGGCTTTGCTATCTGTAGAGTAACTTTTCTTACTATTTTACATTTTTTTAATTGGTATTAGATTAAACCACTTACCTTTCTGTATTGAACTGCTTTATTAGGACAGCACTGCACTCTCCCAGCAGTGTTGGTCTTTCTCATCCTGTTTTGTATTTACTTTATAAATGTCTGGATTTTGTAAGGGAATCTACTGTCTCATGAGAGACAGTAGCTGTTAACTTTCTTCTGGTTTATTAAATCAGAATGGCTCAGAGCATGGTCGGATAAGGGCCCAGAACCCACTGTGGTGGGATTCCCTGGTCATTTTTGTATCCGTGAGCTCAAGCTGTATCTTCATCCTTATCTTCTAACTTAATTTTCCTCGTTACTTTTGTTTGGTCTTCATTTAGAAGCTTACTTGGTAAATTTAAGTGCTGTATTTGAGGAGGCTTCTGTTGTCTTAGATCATATCCGTTGCTGATTATCTCTTGCAGTTGTAAATGGCTTTCAGAAAGTTATTATACCTGACAGTTCAGACTCTGCAGTCAAAAATGTTAGTTTGCTCAAGTACAAAGCAAGATAAACTAGAAATGGAAAGACTAAAACGGTTTATTTTTGGATGACCTCTTCAAAATCTGCACTGTTTTGACTCTTCAACAGGGGTGGGAAGAAAGCAATAAACAGAGACTCCTGCAAGATGGAAGTACTGAAGAATGTGGCTTTATTACATTTTAATGCAACTTTATTATGCTCTAGTTGCCTTGTAATTTCACTGGGGAAGTTGTTCTGTTTCCTTATTATGTCTGCCAGGTTTATGCATTCAACTTCCATAGCGTTGGATGTGTTCCTTCTTTTTGTCTTATGATGTATTACTGGTCATGGCATCTTTTACCAACCCTTCATGAAGACAAGTAGATTGACTGGCCATACTGTTTGGTTTTGTTGACAATGAGCAATGCAGCATCATATTAAAGATACAGAACTTATTTTTGAATGACATGGAAATCCTTGGTGTGGTATTACAATATCATGTTCTTCTAATTAGCTCTCTGAGCAGTCAGGAGATAACAAGGGGTGGTGGTATGCTAATGTTGGTGTTTCATCTGAATAATGCTCTGTTATGCAGCATAGATACTCTAAGAGATTTTTCTCCTTTGAAACAAGGAGGCATTTGGTAGTGTTCAAAGGAATGGGAAACAGTAGTCCATGTAGGAAGATAAAAACATGATCCCCAGACTAGTTCTTTGACTGGTCTTTGGAAAACAAACTATTTCAAACATATTATAACAGTTGTAATGTTAAAGCATCTGAAGAAGTTCAAGCTACTGTGAAAGAAAGTATAGTGTTCACTGTGTTTGTCCTAATAAATTAGTATTCTCTAGTCCCTTGCGATTGAATTTGTAGCATCAAAAGGGAATATGAACAGTTAGCGTCTGAGTTCTGTTCAGGTTTTTGTGTGAACTAGCTTTCCCGTGCTGATGCATTTGCATTCAGCTACAGCATTCAGCAAGGCATATTACTGAATGGGAAAAAAACCATTGAAACATGACAGAACGACTAACTGAAAGTGTGTGTGACAATGTAGTGAAGAAAATGCATTAAACAAGCTCTTAGCTGCTTTTTTGCATTATACATAACAAAACCATTGTTCCTCTGTGGTATGGCTGCAGAGTCTTCAGATTACCTGAAATTGCTGTACTTACAGAAAAGAATTAGTACAATTATGCCTTTGCCCCAGAGTCATTTGAATTAGTGATTTTTGAAAAACAGCATCCCAGTAAGTTTGTATGTATATCTGTATCTATCTGTCTATATATATCTGAAAGTCAAATGGCCATCATTTTTATGTATCTTGGGTTCAGATTTTGCTTTTAAGTGCTCTTCTGTATTTCTGAGTAGTTTAATTATTTGGCACATGCATTTTTTTGTGCTATTTGCAGCTCTTTGAGAGATGGTCTTGAAAACATTATTGAAGGAAAAGACTAAATTCTCTTTAGCATCTCTGCAAAATAATCTACTGTGGATTATAGGATGTATGTAGAAAGGTAGATTGCAAACCGAAATGGCTAGCTCTTTTTCGTATGAGGAGGTACATGCCTGCTGGTTTACCACTGAATGTGAAAACTAGTCTGGAAAAGTATGTATCTCTTCACGTGGAAGCAGTTTCTGGATTAAGCTTGGTGTTCACTGTGTTGAACAGGTAAGTTTTATACTAAGATAGTGTTTTCTGTAAGCATTAGATAGTGTCCAGAGCAGGGCAACCAACATGGTGAAGGGCCTGGAAGGGAAGCCGTGTGAGGAGCAGCTGAAGTCACTTGGTCTGTTCAGCCTGGAGAAGAGGAGACTGAGGGGAGACCTCATTGCAGTTACAACTTCCTCAGGAAGCGAAGAGGAGGGGCAGGCACTGATCTCTTCTCTGTGGTGACCAGTGACAGAAACCAAGGGAATGGCCTGAAGCTGTGTCAGGGAGGTTTAGGTTGGATATTAAAAAAAGGTTCTCCCTCCAGATGGTAGCTGGGCACTCGAACAGGCTTCTTAGGCAGTGGTCACAACACCAAGCATGACAGAGTTTGAGGCATTTGGACTACACTCTCAGGTACCTGGTTTGACTCTTGGGGATGGCCCTATGCAGAGCTAAGGTTTGGACTCGATGATCTTTGTGAGTCCCTTCCAACTTAGCATATTCTGTGATTTCACACAACCGTGATCACTGCATTAACCATTTGGCTTTGCAACAGTAGTTGTCATTGTGCTAGTGCACTCGTACTTTGTTGCCACATTAAGTATTTTCAAGAGAAATTCCTAGGTTAAAAACTGTTTCTCAAATCAACATAGTAAAATCTCTTAAGAACACTGGCTGAGAAACAGAATAATACTGTCATGTAGTTGGATGCATAATTACATGCCTTGTCATCATCTGTTTGCAGTGGAAACTTATTGAGTCAGAATTTTATAGCACTGTGCTATTGGATGCTTTTGTGCCTTTAAAAATCTCTCCTAGGTGTATAGGCAAATGCATGCATTGAAATATTAGGAAACAACAGTTGGTTATTTTCTTAAAATTTACAACTTTTTACGTAATTCCCTGTTTCTAGGTTGGATCTGGGTTATCTCGTCTGGGAACAGCAGCAACTATCAAAGGTGAGATTTTTAGCTACTTGTTAAATTACCTTGCAGAAGCACTTCAAATCACTACTCTTTACTATGTTGTTTCTAAATACTGTCTACCTTATCTTCAAAACTTTTTTTTTTTGTGAGATAAGTGCAGCATTTACTAATTGGGAGAAGTCTTCCTTGGACTTGCCAATACTTGGACTCCTCACAAGGAGAGGATATTACGGAGTCCATGTTCTGTTTCATGTGTAATGACAAGTTTTTCCTTTGCTTGTAAATGCAGAGCTAAGGAGTTGGTTTGGCTGGACTTTTCCCTAGCATTTTTCAAGTCACTGCAACCAACCACTCTTCTGGTATTGTATTTCAATGACATAATTATTTCTGATTGCTTTGCATCTAGCAGAACTATTGTCCAGGGTAGCCCTTGTGAACTCCTCTAGATGAAAAGATAAATTTTTTGTAATATGCAAAAGTGTGATATTGTAAATTTGTCCAACCAGTAATAAGACAAAATTGAATGTGAATTTTTGTCACTTTCCTGATTATTTTTTCCTTACTTTTTTGATCATTACAAGTATTTTCTTACAGTCTACCCTTCTTTTTTTATGGGCAACCATGCAAAAAGAAATACTCAAATAGATACATCTTTAAGAAAAACATAATCTCTGTTTCCATTGGGTTCTATGGAAGATACTTTTCTAGTTTTTCATGGAAGATAAATGAAATAGGATAGATAATATTTGTCTCTAAAAGATAAATCTTTTCTTGTTTCTTGTGTTTCTTGTAATTATTATTTACCTTCAAATGAGGAAATAAAAGCAACAGTCTTTCATGACAGCTGAGAAATCTGCAGTGTATGTAAATGTATGTGTTAATACTTTGAGCACTAGTACTCTTATTTCTTAAAATTCACAGGTGATACTGACACTGCCAAGACCTCTGATGATATCAGTTTGAGTCTTGGCCAGAGTTCTAGCCTATGTAAAGAAGGGAGTGAAGAACAAGGTAAAATTTCTTCTTCTCCATGTTAAACATGGTATTTTGTTACCAGAGACCCTTTGCTTAATATGCTAAATAAATTCATGCCGTTTGGTGATAAGACTCTGAGAAAAGGTATCTTGAAGTTCTTTGTTTCCTTTCTTAATTACTCAAGTTTCTCCGAAGTGTAGTTTGAATGCTTTTAACTTGATTCAGTGTTTCTTGTTCTGACATCTTCCAGCAGGTAATAAATATGTATTGTCACCTTACTGCTGAAAAATAGCTAGTTTACATGTCTTTAGACAGTATCCCTCATACTACAAGTGGCCTGGGATTCAGGGACTTCATTGTAGACTGCTTTGCTTTCCAGTACAGACAAATGTATTTTTTTAAAATCTGGAAGGCTTTTCTATGAAGTAAATAATCCTATGCAGAGTTCTGTGTTTCTGGAGCTATAGACTGCTTCTAAGATGCAAGTTATCACAGCTTTGTGTTTCCTTTTTTTTCATTTTTTTCCCTCCTAGTATGTAAGGAAATTGCTAGCTTGTGTTCTGAAACAAAACTGGACAACTGAAGATCTCATTTGTCTTTTATCTTCATTGTCAGGAAAAAACCTGTTTAAAAAAGGCACAGTTTAAATAGAGCATAAAACTGCAGGGAATTCTTTTGTTTGCTGATTTTAAAGTACCTGGTGATTAGCAGGAAATTAACTCTGGGAGTACTATGGTTCATTTTTGCCAGTCTAATCACTATTGGACGATTAGACTGGCATGGATGATTCAGTTAGTAATATGTACTTGAGTGCAGAAAGTATGTTTGAAATAAAGCATCATAGGTGACCATGCTGTTGTAATAGGGAGCAAGGTTCTACTACTTTCAACTAAGTAATGTAACTGTTTTGAAGTTTCTTAAGTTGCAGATGTTCAAATACACTCTACAAAAATTTAGCAATCATAAAAACTTAACTTGGCCTCCAGATCTTCTATTTTTAGTGACAATACCAAAAGGGAAGGTACTGACTTTCAGTGCTGCCTGCAGGTGGACACTTTTACATGAGGCTGCTTGTGATGAGTAACAGGAACAATTGTTGTAATCAAAAGCTAACAGCAAATCCTCATGATTTGCTTGAAAGTCACCAGTTTTAGAGGTAGTCAAACTCAGTAACTTCATAGGGAGTTTTTTTATAGTACCAATAGGCCTGTGCAACATTAAGTCTGAAACACATAAGCAGTAGAGGAGGTTGGGGACTTGTCAGAAGTGCATTGGTTTTTATTAGTTGCTAAGGGTAAGCTACTATTTATGGTTTCTTTTTTTTAATTTAAAAATACCCTGTCAGGTTTGCCCAGGTGTTAGGAAATAATTTTAAATGGTAGTGTGATGTATTCATAGTATACTTGCAAATGGACTAGTCAGTTCATTTACTTTGGCTGATATAAGCAAGCAGTTTTAAAGCAGATTGTGTAACTTACATGAACATTCTACATGAATATTTTTAAATATGTACTTAAACAGATCTGGCAGCTGATCGGAAGCTTTTTCGTCTGGTATCGAACGACTCGTTTGTCTCCATCCAACCTTCATTGTCCTCTGGACAGGATTTGCCAAGGGACAACAGTGACAAAGTGTGCCTCTCGAACAACCAGCTTGTGGACCAGTCTAAAACCAGTGCATGTGACACAGAAGTAGCTTCGCTTGTAACTCTGCATTCTCACTCATATAGGAAGGATCATAGACCACGAGGTGTACCAAGGACTTCTAGCTCTGCTGTTGCTTTTCCAGATGCTTCACTAAATGACTTCCCTCTCTATCAGCAAAAACGAGGACTAGATCCTGTCAGTGAATTAGAAGCTTCCAAGCCCCCTTCTGGATCCAGAGAGTCTTTGGGTGAGAACTCTTGCATTTCAGGAGTTTTTCAATTAGATGACATTCTGAAAAGTAGCAGCCCTCAACCATTGACTAAGAGTGGGAAGAGCAAATCCTTGAAAGCAGACAAAAGTATGGACAGTCTGAGAAGCCTGAGTACTAGAAGCAGTGGTTCAACAGAAAGCTACTGCAGTGGGACTGATCGCGACACTAACAGTACCATCAGTAGCTATAAAAGTGAACATACTAGCTCAACGCATATAGAAAGCGTGTTGTCAGAGCACGAGGAGGAGTCTCCTAGAGAAGAGGAAAAGGGTGGTAAGAAAAAAGACTGTGGTATTGACTCAGAGGATGACAGTAGTTCTACTACGGATAAAAGGACTAGTAGTGAAAGGACTGCTGTTGAAGTGAGCACTATTGGTGGTGTTCAAGAGGTAAAGGGTTCTAATGCATCTGACGAGATGCACAGCCAGAAAGGTCTTGGTGCCTCTGCTTCGGAAGAGGCCAATAAGAACCCCCATGCCAATGAATTGACTATACAAACTGACAGGCCGCTTGGGAAGGCTGCTGAACAAAGAGATGAGCAAAGTGAGAAACTAGTTGTGTTAGTAGATTCAAGAGCTTCTAAAGAAACAAGTGGAAAACAAAAAGAAGGAGATGTTCGACCAAAATCTTCTAGTTTAATACATCGAACAGCCTCTACCCACAAGTCCAGCCGGAGAAGGACAGGAAAAAAGCGGGCTAGTAGCTTTGATTCAAGTCGGCACAGGGAATATGTTTCCTTCCGAGGTGTATCTGGTACTAAGCCTCACAGTGCTGTGTTTTGTCACGATGAGGACTCCAGTGATCAAAGTGACTTGAGCAGGACATCAAGTATGCAGTCAGCTCACCAGTTCAGCAGTGATAGCTCTTCCAGCACCACCTCCCATTCATGCCAGTCTCCTGAGGGAAAGTACAGTGCTCTAAAGACCAAATACGTTTCTAAAGAACGTGGGGGCACAGACCTTGAAAATGCTCACAAAACCCACGTAAGCTCTGAAGGAATTAGCAAAAAAAGATCTACACGACGGACTTCTAGCACAAACAGTGCCAAGAATCGTGCCAGAGTTTTAAGTCTGGACAGTGGTACTGTAGCTTGTTTGAATGACCCAAATAGTTTAATGGCACCAGGTAACATAAAACAGTTAACCACTTCAAAATCTGATTTGGAAGCCAAAGAAGGAGAGGTGCTAGATGAGCTATCTCTGTTGGGAAGGGCTTCACACTTAGAGTCAGTCACTCGTTCTAGGAATAGCTTACCAAACCAGGCTACATTTCCTGAAGGGGAAGAGCAAGAATCAGCAAGTGGAGGTAAGTAAATGACCTACCAGAAGTACATTGTAATATTTTGTTAATGAGTCTGATATGTGTGATTTAACTTAAAACTATACTTACATGTCCTCCTGTTTCTTTGTTCCTGCCCAGTAAAACTGAAAAAACATTTCCTTCGTAATCTCTTGGAAGATACATAGAAATGGGAGTTGAATCCAAACAACTGTTAGGAAATATATAGGCAGAGGTGTTATGGTTTTGTTACCAGACGTCTTTGTTAATTAGAGCTGTGTATTAAAACTACTATTTGTGATTAAATCCAGACCTGCTCCATTGTACTGAAAAGTACAAACCACTGCTACCTCTGACATGGTGGTATCAAAAAATAAAACCAATCCCAAACCCTTACCATGCTGCCCTGAATTGTGCATTCTTATAGTGATCTGGTTACAAAGCTGAATTCTCGTAGGGGTTTGATTTTGCTTAGCTTTGCCATTGCTGGCTAGACAGTGTTTGCTTTTGGTTTGTTTTGTTTTTTGGGTTTTTTTGTCTTCATTATGTGAACACAATAACATTCCAGTGTTTGAGAAGAGTGTAGTTTCCTCTTTCCCTAACTATTGCTTTGCTTAGTGTAATGTGAATATGAAGCTTACCTGTAGTAGCTGTTATTAATATAGATTAATAGTAGCATTTAAAAAAAAATTTGGAGCTTTTTTTTTTTTTTTTAATCGTTACGACATTTCAGTGTATTTTCTTGATTAGCTATATTGACTGCCTTAACTGAGAAGACTTCTTGTGTCATGGAAGATAAGTGGCTTTAAAATACATTTTCAGGACAGTATGGGATTGCTAAGATTACCTCAGTCTGACTTTTGGGATTGTTGGAGGGCAGTAGCTACCACATAATCTGGATCTCTATAGCTAAGCACACAAATGCTTGATAACATTTTATTTTAGATTGACATAAATGTTTTTAAGAAATCGTAGCAAATGTACTGTTCTTGTTATATAGACTGCCGGAACAAAATCTCCCATTTTAAAAGGAGAGGCTTCCAACTGGCAGCGAGATAAGATATGACCAATAGTGCGGTTTTCTTTTGGTTTTGTTTTGGGTTTTTATGTGTGGTTTGGGGTTTTTGGGTGTTTTGTTTTTTGGTGTTTGGTTTTTTTTTTATGTATGTGTTCCCCAACATTGACCCAAGAACTATAAAAATAAGTACAATTAATTTCTGGGGAGGAAAAAAAATGTACCACGCTAAAGTTCAGCTGTATATTGGTCACTGATCAAATCTGAATGGTTAACAGTAAGTTCAGACCTATTTAGATGCTTTCACTTTACCAATATATACAGATTTTTTTCCTTTTTCTTTTTTTTTTTTTTACTCTCTTTCTACTGTTTCTAGTAACAGTAGGTTTAATGAAAGAGTCCAGGTTGCTCTTCTAGTACTAACTCTGCAAGCCAAACACTTAACACTTATTTTTCTTATACCTTGTTAAAGTGTCAACTCTTCTTTGTCTACTGAGAGTAATTTGACTAGTAAAAAATCTGCTTATGTATTTACTATTTTGACTCTATGCTTTCCTTAGCATAGAGTTTTTTTGTGTTATTACTGTTTAAAACTGTTAAGGTTCTTTGCTTATGTGCGAAGGAGGATTAATATACCTTACTTTACGGAACATGTCATACTTCATATGTGCTTACTACTTGTCAGTAGTCTGAAAGAATTAATTAACTGATGCTGTATATTGTGAAATAGATTGATTGCTCTTTTAAAAAATGAAATGGTGGGGAAGACAAGCCTTGACATATTTCAAAGCAGTGCTAAAGATACATATCTGTACCAGTTTAAGCAGGAAAGGCTTGCTGTCATTCTTCCTGGTCTAATTGTTTTCCCCTTTAAAATTTTACATGGTGGTCATTTTGAAGTTGTTAGTATTTTAAGTAAGTGGCAAGCACCCAGGTGTTACTTACCCATGGGTTGCAGGCAGTCTTTAAGAAGCAATCTGGAATCAGGTTCTGCAGATTTAATGACATCGTGGTTACTAACACTTGCAGTATATTATGTTTCTTATTACCAAGACAAGAGGAAGTATTTCCTTTATGATTGTAAGAAATTAATGTCATTCTGCTTTTTTTTTTTTTGAAGAACAACAACAAAATTGACACAGCTTTCTTCACCATTACTTAAATATTTGTGCAGTCTTGTCTAGCATTAAGCCAGTAATTACATTGAATTTATGTATTCATGATCAATCTGAATAATTCATTCATGTTGTCCTTCTCTACTGGTTTTTCTTTTGTGTGTGTTTTGTTGGGTTTCCCCCCCCCCAAATTTATAGCTTATATTACAGGTTTTGCAACACCTGTCTGCATCTTTAATTGTGGCTTTCTTCTTCAGGCTTGCCTATGACTAATAGTAATGAGAGAAAATGCTATAACTTTTTAGAATTGAATTGCTTTATAGCCAGTATTTCTCACTATTGAATTGTCTTCACCTGTAGGAGGTTTCTTAACATACATGTGTAATATAAATACATATCATATTTGTATATATGTATAGCAATTATTTGAGAAAATTAAGAAGTTATTTTATTTATTTGTAGCAGGTGAATTGTAGAATAAACTTTGTTCAGATTTTCATAGGATTAGGGGATATTGGTTGGATGTGACTTACAGAAGTAATCTGGTCCAACCTCCTGCTGAAAGGATTATTTTATAATTTTATATAAGTATTTTTAATTGTCTGTGATTACTTATGATAACTTTCTGAAACAAATAATTAACAAATGCACCCTGGATAACCAAAAGACTGATATTAATACCACCTTCTGTTTTTCAATCAGCAGCTTTCATTCCTGTTTTTTAAATTTGACTTAAAATTAAGTTCTAATTACTGATTTATCTTTCAGTCTTTAGGGAGTAAACTAAAAAGTACATTCTTACATGTTTGTGTGATGGCTAAAGTGTGTTTTATAATGGAGATAGCCTTTACTAATCTTCTGCTAAGAAGGATGCTATACAAACTTGTACGTATTTCACTTCTGCAGATACAACTTAGCAGTTCCATTTCTATATTATTATGTCAGGAAGTGCTGAATGACTCACTATGAGATAGTGTGTGCATTTGAATAGAAATTGCAGTTCATTAAAACGCAAGAAACGGTATCTGAAAATCCTGAAATTAAAAATACGTGGTGGATGTATAACAAAAATGGAAGATGCCTTACAATAATTGTTATCCTTGTTAGCTACTCAGACTCTAAAAGTAGCTAGTGAATTGATGAGTCATGAAGTTGCTTACAGCTCTGAAAGTTTTCCTACGTATCTAGTGATATTTTGGAAATACTACCTTTGCGCTGTCCTGTGCCTGGTCTGTGTGAGATGTGTGCTATTTCTGGATTGCTGTTTGTAATGGTTTAAAGAAGCAGCATAACACTGTGACACAGTCACGTTTTGTAAAACTGTCAAAGATGCCCCCTTTAAGTTGGTACTCTGTTTTACAGCTTGCTGTAATTTAAGGTTTATTAAAGTTCTGGAGATGCTTCCACACCCTTTTGTAAATAAAGCTGCATATAATGTAATGCATTTTTCCTCCTGTACATTGCATAGCAGTAGTGAAGTAACAGCTCATATTGTTCTTCTGCATGTTTTGTGGTCTGCATTACATCTCTGCAGGCAGACAAAATAAGGTTTTGTAAGTTTGGGTTAGTTTAACATTTTTTATAGCATATGGAAATCTGTTCATCTTCTCAGTCTGTGTGTATTTGTACATATATGCTTAGCGTATCTGCCTGTAATTGCACACTATCCTTTCCAAAATTAAAAGTGCAGTTCAGTTCTCTGCTATTCAACCAATGGTCATGTCAGCTGTTACTAATATATATTACTTTTTTTGCTACTATGCTTATGTTGCAGGTGGTCTACAGTTATGACTTATTTTGCCTGTGTTGTAGAGCTGTTCCATGCTTCTGATGACTTTAGTTTGATACGTTTTCTGCAGGTAGAATTAATATAGTTACAGAGGATGGAGCTTCTGCTCTGTTTTCTGTGAGTCTTCCAGTTCACAGTCAAACTGCTAAACCAGTTTTGCATGAGAAATTGGAGTTTAGAAATGAAACTGAAATATGTGTAAAGTTACTTGTATTGCTTATGTGTATGTTAGCTATCTCTATTCGTGTGTTCAGCAGGACCGCTTCTGTAACTGGATCCAGTTAAGCAAGTCTTTTCTATATGAGGTTCTTTATTGGGACCAAAAGATTGTATTCCCTTACTTGTTTTTTTTAGCTATTAACTAGCAGTGTCATAATGTCCCTGGATTTTTGTTCCAGCATGACCAATATCTGACTTCCAAAACAATATGTTTTACTGTCACAGCTTTTGTGTGTAAAGGTTGGGTTTCACAGAATTACCTATGGTCTTGGATATCTCGTTATCTCAAGAGGTGAGATTGTTACCATTCAACACTTAAAGATGTAGACAGTGTTAGGAATGATGTTTGAGGCTACAGTGGAGTTCTGCAGGTTTGGAATTCAACAATAAAATAACACTTAGAATTAATCTTGCTTCTACTAATTGTTAATCACTCCCTAGTAAAGCAAACTTACAGTATATTTTGTGGGGTTTCCATCTTGTCTGTTTTGTCCCCTTTCTGGTATTTATGGATATAGGCTTTCATTAGATGCCTTTTACTTGATTTACAAAGCGTGATTGAATTTTGTTGACATGTGCTGTTCATAAATTAGCTAAGGATTCATCTCAAGCAGGAGTTGAATAGGAATTCTTGATATTAGATAAGAATGAAGCTCCATCTACTAACTTAGGTTTGTAGGCCACTTTTTTCATGCTGCTTTTTAGATGTACCTGGGTTTACTGTTATGCATACAACCAAGAAGGTTTTAAGAGCTCTATGAACTGGGATGGAAGAAGTCAAGTTGTTGCCAAATGGTGCTATGCAATGTAACTCCAGGATGTATCAAAGTTGGCTACCTTTGGTGTTATAGTTAAGGCCATGCAATGCAAGTATGACTTCCTGCATATG